GCTAGCTTAACATTAAAAGCTAGTAATTCCTTTATTAATAAAACTCGGGTGTTACACCTGCCAGCGCCACTCGCGTGCACGCGGTAGTCCCCGTGACATCGAGAGCCCCGTGCGACTCCCGCCTAGTCCACGCTCGCAAGCTTGTCGAGAGATCCACGACATCGAGAGCACCCGCGTATCACCTGCTGCCCGCACCCGCGCACGCGCTCGAGAGATCTGCACCAGCCGCCAACCACACGCCCGCGAGCACGCCCCAGCACCCGCGCCGTCGAGAGTGCACTACTCCACCACCGCGAGCTCGCGGATTTCAAGGCTACGTCGAGAGTGCCTTCATTTAAACTGCGTGTTTTAGTGTGTGTTGGAGCTAGACTATAAATACATTTTGTCCTTTGCATTTTGGGGATCCAACTCTCATTTTTCACTTTTCCCACTTTGGGAAATTAGCTTATGTTTTATTTTGCTCTCTAGATTAGGAGCTTATGTCATTTTCTGGGAGATTTTCTGGCGACTTCGGTTCCTTTCATGTTTCGAGCTTTTGACTCCGTTTTTCATCATCTACGCAATGGAAGAATGAGTATTTAGTTTTAAAGCTCTTTACTTCGGTTTTTGCTCCGTTTTTACTTATAATGCTTATTAGGGTAAATTTGGGTTTGATTGATGATGGAGGAAATGCTTATGCTTGATTGCTTGCTTGAGTAGATAGAGTCGTTAATTGCTCGTTGATCTCGATTAGACGACTAGGATTAGCAATCTAATGCTCGTAGCTCGTTTATTCCGTATGTCGATTGATTATCATCCCGTTATGGTTATGGCATGAGACTCCGGTGATCTAGTTAGCTAATTGCTCGTCTTTTGATCTTGCTTTCAATTAATCGCTCGTTGTTAAGTGCTCGTTAGTGTTAATCAACTTCCAAATCGATTGCCTAGAATGTTTAGGACTTTATTTTCCCTTTTTGTGATTTTGGACGATCATCTAGTAGACGAAGCTCCGAATAGCCTTCCTTCGAGATCGACCCGAGTCGGGTAACTCGGTTATCCTTTGCCCATCAAATCTATACTAAACAAAATGGCGCCGTTGCCGGGGAAGGCAAGTAGGACGCCTAGTTTGCTAGTTGATTGTCTCTTTTTCTCGTGTTTCTTTTGATTTTTTTTTGTGATTTTGCTTAATTTCCGTGTTCCTCTCGATTTCTCTTGCTTTTTGTCTATAGTTGTGTTTGTTGCTTTAGCTTACTTTGCTTCCCATTGGTACGTTCACCGGGTATAGTTGTTGTTTTTGTTTATGCGAGGTAGACGAGGGCGTAAACCCCGAAAGGAGACTCCACCGGTCGACCTCATAGTTGAATCCGACATAGACGAACCTCAACCGGAACCCGAACCAATGGCGAATCAAAATGAGCAGCTTCCCCAACCTCCCCCGAATATGAGATATTTTGCACGGTCTATCATCAGAGACAACACATCATGTCTCGTGCTCGGGGAAGCGGCCCGAAATTATGATCTCAAGACCATCCACCTAAACCAACTTCCATCATTCTACGGCCTAGCTCAAGAGGATGCCCTCAACTTTATCCGAGATTTCTATGCAACCGTCAACATATTCCCACTCCAAGGCCTAACCGAGAATCAACGCCGCATGAGATGCTTTCCATATACATTGAAAGACCGAGCCAAGACTTTGTTCATGACATTGCTTCCGAGCTCGCTCAACACGTGGGAAGCCGTTTACGAGAAGTTCATGAGCAAGTACTACTCCCATCAAAAGACCACCGACCTCCGGACTCAAATGGCTAGCTTTAGCCAAAATATCGGTGAGACCTTCCACGAGGCATGGGAGCGGTTCAAGGGGTATCAACTTCAATGCCCCCATCATCACTTTTGCCTCGGGGTTCTCAATCAATTTTTCTATGACGGTCTCCACCAAACCCTCCAATACATGGTCGATCATGCGGCCGGTGGAGACATAGGGAGCCATACGGAGGAGGAAATCTATAATTTGTACGAGATGTTGAGTGAAAATTCACAAAGAAAGAGCGTTCGTAAGAGGGCTCCCGTGAATGAGGCTACACCATCAACCGGGTCCTCGAACGATGCCGTTCTTGCTAAGCTTGCCTCGTTAGAAGAAGAGCTCAAACAACTCCGGCTAAGGGATGCAAAGTCGACCCAAGCGGTGATGACCGAGGTGTGCGGTTGTTGTGGAGAGGCCGGCCATGGAGGCCACAAATGTCCGAAATGGTGCCGGCCTACGACCCAAATCTTGAAAGAGTTCCCTACGACATCAATGCTATTCAAGGGTACGCCCCCCGGGTCCAAAACGATCCTTACTCGAACACATACAATCCCGGGTGGCGAAACCACCCTAACTTCTCATGGAGGAACCTGAAAGCTACCTACCCACCTCAACCGGCACCACAACAAGCTTACTCCCAACCTCAACAATATGCTCAACCGAACAACCGACCACCGTTCCAACCACGACCCGAATTCCAAGGCTATCAACCGAGGACCGAGTTCCAAGGATATCCACAAGGGCGTGGAGGCTTCATTCCGAGGCAACCTTTGCCGCCTCCACCCGAGCCCGAAAGAAATGCTAACGGAGAATCCTCGGAGACTCGGATCGAAAGCTTGGAGAAGTGTCTTCAATCATTGGCCTCCACCGTCTCAACGTTGCACGACACCGTCAAAGGAGTGCCATCGATTCAAGCCTCTCTCAAATGCCTCGAGACTCAAATGGGGCAACTCGGGAGTTCCATCGGGGAAATCCAAAGGAGCAAGATGAAAGACAAACTCCCGAGCCAACCCGAGCACTTGAACGCCATCACCGTCTTGAGGAATGGTAAGAAAGTCGATAATTGTGTTGAGATGCCAAAGGCAAATGAAGTAGTTGAAGATATAGTTGTTGAGGATGATAATTAACCAAGTGAGAGGGTTGATGTTTCTAAAGGGAAAAATGTTGTTGATGAGGAAGTCGAGAAGGAGAACCCCAAGAAGGATGACCGTGAGGCTTTGCACAAAGCAAGTACACCCTACCGACCACTGGTTCCCTTCCCGAGTCGATTGCAAGATACAAAGAAAGAGCGTCAATTCAAAGACCTTTTCGATATGCTCTCGAAGGTAAATGTCAATCTTCCTCTCTTGGAGGTTATTCGAAATGTCCCGGCATACGTGCAATTCTTTAAGAATTTGGCCTCCAAGAAGAGGAAGTTCGGGGATAATGAGAAAGTCATGATTTTCGAGGTAGCCTCGACTATTATACCTCGGAAAGAGTGCGATCCGGGAGCTTTCCTCATGAAGATCACATTTGGAAATGGGAAGGCCACAACCGGGATGCTAGACTTGGGAGCCGGTATCAAGCTCATGCCTTACTCTATTTACAAACAATTGGGTTTACAAGGCCGCAAACCGACTCGAATGAGCCTCCAATTGGCGGACCGCACCTTGCGGGAGCCAAAAGGGATAATCGAAGATGTGTTGGTCAAGGTTGGCTCGATTGTTGTACCAGTCGACTTTGTAGTCCTTGACGTCGGAGATGTCCCGAATACTGGGAAGGAGCACACTATCTTGCTTGGGCGACCCTTCATGGCGACGACCAACACCATTATCGACGTCAAGGATGGACGAGTCACTCTCTCGGCTCATGGGGAGCTGGCTACCTTCACGATGAACAACGCCCGGGAAGCTTCACCCAAAGTTGGCCAATGCTCATTTATGGAGGATACCGACAAGGAGGTACATCTCAACTCTAATCTCAAATTATCTAATGAAAATGGTTTTGTAGGAAAGATGAATGATTTGAAGTCGGGCAAGAAAGGGGCGAAAAAGAAGCCTAAGGATGGAGATGCAAAATCGAGAGATAGCCCACCAAGTTCGAATGATGAAGTGATTTCCGAGGTGTGGAAATTCACGAAAAATGGCATGAAGTTTATGAGGGGTGAGGAGTTGAAGAGGAATCCCCCGATATCCCTGAGGAGTAGGTGGGCTAATGTGTTCGGTGACGAGCTCGAAAATGAAAGTGAAGAGGCTCGTCAAGCAATGCCCGGTTGATCATTGAATGGAAGGGAAAGTCGAGCTCACGACTATAAACCGAGCGCTTCGTGGGAGGCAACCCACGTTTTGTTTTCCTTTTTCTCTTCTTTTCTTTTTATATATAAAA